ATTACTAGGGAAGTACTAATTTTTGTAGAGACTTATTTCCATTATTCCTGTGTACTTGCCATGGGACCCAGGCATCTATAGTTACATTGTTGGTAGTAGTTCTGGATGTGGGAATCTTGTGTTGTTTTGTTGTGTGTGAGTTTGAAGCTCTGTTTCTTGTTACTCAACTTGTCAGGTACTTGACCAGTTGAGGCTTAGGTTTGAGTCTTTGGGCAATTCAGTATTGAGGTTCCAACTGGGTATTAGAGATAGTCCCCACTCAGTCTGAGCTAAGTGACATTTCTAAGACCAGGAGCAGACCTTCTGTTGAGTTAGAAGATTCTCATAGCCAGTCTTCAGGAGTCTTGGGGAGATGTTCAGGACCTTTCCTTAAATAATAGGTACTGGTGGGGTTCATGATGCAAATCTAGACTCCCTACTGAAGGTGGTGAGGAGGATGCAGTGGAAGACACTTAACAAGATGCTTGGTCCACAGGCAGATGGTAGAGGTGGGTGGAGTTGCCACTGTGGGTCTACTGCTGTCCTTATAGTGGGGCAGTCCTTGGGTCACCAGGATGGGTGGAGTAAGCAGGGCTGGACAGAGTTAGCATCAGCAGGCCACACTCCCTGACTGACGGAGATTGAGTAGGGGTTAATGACAAGAGTCTGAGAGCACTGGTTTTAAGCTATTTGTTCTGAAATCAAGTAGAAAACCACCTTACATTCCTCAGGATTCCCAGCCTGGAAGGGCAGTCTCTTAGAAAAGGATGAGTGAAGGGTGGGTCTCTCACATTTGCAGTGGAATGTGCAAGCTGCTGAACGGGAACAGCCACTCCATGATCACTGTGCTCCATGTACTCAGATCCTCAAAGGGCTCTGTGGGCAAGAAACTTAACCAGCATGAGTGCTTCACGAAGCCCCTTGCAGACTCAGTTGAGGACTATTCCAAAGCCCATTGCTTATTCACTGGTGAGGCCACTCTCGTTTTCCACTGGTTGGAGCTTGCTCATGGGTTGGGTGGTATGGAGGGTGGGGTTTTTAGGGTGCTCTGGGGAGATAGGAGTGATTTTTCTCCAGCTGAACTTAGAAGACAGGTTTGGGTTTGGGGTGGTTCCCTAAGACAAGACTGAACAGATTTAAGCCACTTAGGTTTCTGCATATGGAACCAAGGATGGGGCAGGGCCAAGGATCTCAAGAGTGGTTTTAAGAGAAAAGGAGGCATTCGTTAACATAACTGGAATGCCAGCATGAGGACTGATCACAGCTCCCACAGTACTCGCCCCTTCCTGAATCAGTGGCCTCAGCTGTCCATGACATTCCCACAAGCAGAGGCAGCTGAATGGTTCCCCAAGGCATTGACTCTCCTACCCAGCTGTTTGCAACTTGGCAAACTCTCTCAGGTGCTGCATTGCCCAGTGTGACCCTATCTCAAGGCAAGCATTTTGGTCACTGACCAGCTGGCAATAGCCCTGCTCTTTCCCCTAAAGACCTGACTCAGGCCACGTAGCTATACACACACAATAGTGCACATGGGTGAAGCTGGAGCTGGGGCGACGATACCTCATAGCAGCAAAGCTGCTGTCCGTGGAATTCACTTACCCAAGGGCTCTTAAACAAATGAGGCAGTGCTTGCACCAAGGCCTTCCATCAAGAGGAGGCCATGAGCCAGTTCTCCAGCCCCTCTCAAGCCATGCAGAACCACAACCACTCCTCCTGAAGGTGCCCCCAAATTAGCTACCCCTAACCCTTGCCCCAAGGTTCCCCGGTGTTCTAGTTATGAGAGAGCAATGTGTTTGAGATCCAAGTCTCTAGATTTGATTTTTAGAACAAACTTCAGTTTGTCTTCCCTTTGTGGTAAGGATTCTTGCATGTTTGTTGTGTGTGTGCTAGTCTGTGTGGAAGTTGATACTGGGTGTTCTGTATCACACTCTCTACCTTGTTTACTTTTACCTTTTTAAAGACAGGGTCTCACTGTGTAGCCCCAGCTGGCCTGGAACTCACAGAGATTCATGTACTTTTGAATCCTGAGGTAAAGGTGTGTGCCACCAGACTTGGCTCTACCTTGTTTTTTGAGATGGGGTCTCTCACTGAATCTGGATAGACTGGCTGGCCAGCAAGTCCTCAGAGCTGAAGTTCTAAGGGCACACAGCCATAACCAGCTCTTCCCAGAGCTGCTGGGGACCTGAACTCAGGTCTTCATGCTCAGGCAGTAACTGATTTGTCCACTGAGCCCTTCCCAGCCCCTACACTGCCAACTAGAGCTGCAGTTTAATCCTGAAATACACCTGAGACCTGCTGTTGAAATGAGGTACTGGTGGCGTTTCTGTCAGCTCTCTGTGGCGCCTCAGACAAAGTGGGTGAAGCCCAGGAGGGCTTGCTTGCCCAATATTGACAAAAGCCATTTTACAGTGCCAAGATTTTGCAAGAGTAAGCTTCATCTGTAAAGGTGACAGTAGGATGGGAGGCAGCCAGGCCTGGGGCACTAGTCAGCAGGCTCAGCTGAGTTGATGCAGTCCAGGTGGAACCTCGACATGGTCCCAGTCCCTCCTGCATCTATCTGTTGATGGGATGCCTCCGTCTTATCTAGAGCCTCACTCTTCAGGTAATATTCATGGGAGACTTTTGCTCCCACTAGGTTCCAAAGGATATTTTAGGTCTGTCCTAGAGTTCCATATGCAGGTCTTGAGGAACTGTACATACAGATAGTTTTCAGTAGCAAGGACAGGATAGTACTGTTTATGGCTTGGTTTCAGAGGTTACAGTTGAAGCAATTAGGGAACCAAAGCCCATCCCTTTCCTGGCTGGAAGAATTCAGGCACTTGCTATATAGTTACACTAATACTGATTTCTGCCTGTGTCTATCAGAAGAAGACCCCAGAGTCACATGACAGGACTGGGGCTGCTGTCCTGTCTTCACACACCAAGAAGAGGGTTGCTAATGTCTGTTTTCTCTGAGCTGTGGTCAGGGTATGAACAGAAAGGACTTTGAAGAACTATATGGATGTGAGTTACCCATGAACGGAAAATGTGCGGTGCAATGGGTATTTGTTGACTGCTTCCAGACTGATGAAGTGCCCTTAGATTGTCTGGGCCCAGTTTTTCATTTTACCAATGAAGAAACTGAGGCCTAAATAGGTTTGTGAGAGTCTAGCTCTGTTGTTTAGGGAAGAGTTCACAGTTGGTGATGGGAGCTTGTGACACTGGTCCTTTCAGCAGGCAGTCAGCAGGGGCTGGGAGGGTGAGGAATTCAGCATCTATCTACCTTGGCATGCAGGTGCCAGAGTGAGCCCTGCTGAGCTGAAGACACGGCCAGGCAGTGAAGGCTTCCCAGACCTTGTCCTGTGAGAGGTACGCCATGGTGGGAAGACGACCCTGGCTGTAGGCAACAGTGCAAGCAGTTCAGAAGGAAGCTGCACATAGCGATACATACGCAGAAATCATGCAGATTGGGGCCTCTGTCACATGGAGCAGGCAGGTAGACCTGGGACTGAGACAATACTTGCACTAGGGTCTGTGTCCTTGGGGCTTGATTGATTCACCTCACTGGCCTGCTGTCCTCCAGAGGCTTGCCGCCTAGTCCGAGTAGTGGAATCAGGGCTACCGTGGCAAGCACATATGGGGCCATCTCTGCTGATGCAGTTATATCCCTAGAAAGGCTGCCGACAGGCTGTCCAGCAAGTGCAGAATCAGATGAGTGATGGGAGTAGTTTCTGTGGGGCTGAAGTGTGGCAGAGCAGCTGGGCTTGAGCAAGGAGCGAGGAATGCCCTTGTTCATACTGGATTCTTCCAGCTGGGGGCTCAAGGTCCCTCGTAAATCTGTGGCTTTGAGGGTCACACTGTTCTTCACATGTTTGCTGGGGAAGGATGCTGCCCCAGTCTCTCTCCACCCAGCTAGGGAGGCAGGTTAGGGATTGGGAGGGGCATGCAGTGAGTCTCATCTGCGGGACAGACTGAAATGCAACATTAGGAAAAAGATGCAAATGGCCTAGTGGTGGTGGCACATACATTTAAATCCCAGCACTGGGGAGGCAGAGGCAAGCAGATCTCCGAGTTTGAAGCCAGCCTGCTCTAAAGGTCTGAGTGAGTTCCTCTGGGGTATCAAGGACACTGATCCTTGTTAGGAGAGGACAGATGCTGGACCCAGCTAAACTTGCTGGCTGCCTCCCCCTAGCCTTACTTCCTGCACTCCTCATTCTGAGGGCCTTAAGAAGCAGGGAAAGTGAAGGCACAGCTGTGGAGACAGACAAGGCTCAGCTGGGTGGCAACTTGAGACAGGGATGAACTGTCCTGGTTGCAGGTCCCCAGGACTTGCTCTTGCCCTCCATCCTTACCTGTCACTCCTGTCTTAACGGTGTGCAGCCATCTTCCTGTGCTTAGCCTGAGAGAGAACACAGGCAGTGCAAAATAAGCTTTTGCTCCACACTTCTCTGAAAGGAAAAGTGCAACCCAGACAGACACCTCCTATATCCACTAACTGCAGGGTCCTACCAGTAGTGTTTTCTAAGTGAATTCTCCAGTCCTTTTCCTCTCTACCTCTACTCCATCCCCCTACAACCCAACCATGGTAACCTAAATGAGTTTCTTAGGGCATAGAGTGGATGGGGCCACAACCCTACATTCTGGCCCCAAGTCCTTCAGTGGATACATGACACTTTCCCTCAGCTGTGGTCTAGCTTTCACCCTCACCTTCTGAGCCTTGAAGCCTGTGGTCCTCGGAGGCATCCTTGTGCCCACAGTCCCCACCTTGAGTCTGTCACTGCTCAGTGTGTCCTGCTGGGAGCCTTGTGTTCCTCCATTAGTCTCACATGGTCCCCGAATCTCATTCACATCTGACCTGTGAGTCACTTACAACTGTGTTTCCTGATCAGTGTTTACCAAAAAGGTCCAGGAAAGCAGGATGGGGGCAAGGCAGGGCAGTGCCTTTCTGCTCTGCACTGCAGCAGCCTCCCACCTTCCAGAACTATCAGCAGTCAGGGAGTCAGTGTGGGAATCGCCTGTTAACAAGCACTTGTTTCTTTCAGTAACCTTGGAGGCAGTGTCATCAAGGAGGTAGTCCTGGGTTTGCTTAAGGATGGATGGTCCAGGGAGGAAATTACGATGCAGCACTTGGAGATGCCCCTTCAGGCTGAGATCATGAAGTCTGCAGGTAAGTGATCAATTCAGATACATTCACAGCCTTGCCAAGAGCACAGCTAGAGATAATTGGTATCAAATGCAAGGCAGTGAGGGTGGCTGGACAGTGGAGGACACAGGACAGTCTCACACCATCAACTTCTGGTGGCACAAGTACAATAAGTAAGGCTACACTCCTTTCCTGGAAATGCCTTCTGAGTAGGTTCACTGACCCAGCCCCAGAACCAGCTGTGGTCTGCTCATAGGCTAGCACATCTCCCTGAGAGAACAGTGCAGGTGGGACAGCTCCACCTGTTGTTGGCTGAGCTACTCACGACAGACCACACCAGGCCTTTCCATGTGAGGTTTACTTAGCAGATAACAGCAAGGGTGATGGCAAGAGGAGGGAGAAGAGAGAGAGAGGTCTGGGTGCTCGGCCTATTTATATGGATACTAATGTAGCCTCTCACAGTTAAAGATGGGAAGTGAGCCAAGTGGATTCTGGGAATGTGTGACAGTTGTAGCCTAGATGTGATGTCACTGGGTTCGGAGCCTGATACCAACACCACCTTTTTGCTATACCAAAGCCAGCCAGTACTGGTGGTCATGCCGTCACCTCCTACAGCCATAGTCACTGTGCTTCTCTGAGCCTAGAATAGCCACAGCTGTACAGCCCTTGGGAACAACTGCACACAGCACTCCAAAAGCTTTGTGGGAGACAAGCTCTTGCCCAGGTCTCAATTTGGGGGACCTTAAGTCTCCAACAGGGTTCAGTTTCAGGCTAGGTCAGACTCCACGTAACTTTGGGTCTTGATTACAGACAGCAGCTTTGGCTCCAGCTGTCTCCTGAAGGAACACCTTGTTGACCTCTTTATCCCCTTCCTGCCACTGGAGTACCGCCATGTGAGGCTGTGTGTCCGAGATGCCTTCCTGGGCCAGGATCTCCCATACACAGAAGAGGCCCTGGATGAAATCGCCAAGATGATGACATACGTCCCCGAGGAAGAGCGGCTTTTCTCCTCTCAGGGCTGCAAATCCATTTCCCAGAGAATCAACCTCTTCTTGCCTTGAAAGTGACTCCTGTGCACCCTAAATAATCTTCCTCTTCCAGAGACACTCATCTGCCAGGTATCCTGGTGTCTAACAACCACTGCTTTCAGCTACTGTGCAGAAGGCAGTTCCTAACAGAGGAAGTTTCTAAAAACCACTTGGTGCCTTAAAAACCTACATTCTAGACATTCTAGACTGCGTGTCAGAAAGTCAGGAAGCCAGTGGAAGGTCCAAGTACCAGAGGGTCCTCAGAACACTCCCTATAGTCTCTTGGCACCATAGCTCTTCCTGGAAGGCAGCTGGAGTGGAGTATGAGCCTGAGGCTCCAGGATCTTTGGGCAACAGAACAAGGAAGATGGAAGATGTGTGGACCAACAGGAGTGTGGCCTGGGTCTACAGATTTGGCTGGCTTTCCGAGGTGGGGAGAGGGGCAGCTTCTGCATGTGAGCAGACCAGCAAAGGGTCTTAGGCTAAAGGAAAAACCACATTTTCAAAACATGATGGGTGTGGCTAATACAGAAGACGGAGCTAAAGAAGCCTGAGCTGCCTAGTTTGAGCAGCCAGCCAGGCTTCAACAAACAAAAAACAGGAGGTGTGTAGCTAAGGCATGTTCTGTTCTGTAGATTGAAAACTTTAAGAGGCCTCATCATGTGTAATTAAATTTTGTATTTTTCTAATATCCTTTCTTACTGAGACCTAGTCCTTGCACTCTGCACCGATGGGAACTGGTGGGGACAGGGTGGGTGCTGGCCCTGGCAGGCTGGCACAGCATGTGCTGACCTACAAGCTGATTTCAGTCTGCTTTAGAGCATCTTACTAAGCTCCTCTGACTCAGCACTCGCAGACATGCGTCCTCCACTCCAGCCCTGACACAGAAAGCTGTGGTTCTTGAGGCTGATGTGGTGAGGCAGATCATGCACCACCCGTTTTTATGATACCGTGCTCCGTCCGCTCTTTTCTGGTCCTTGCTTCACACTTTTGAAACATAGAGGTCTTTGTGCTTTCTCATAATTCCCCCTCCCATTAAAGCTCTCCTCAGCACTCTCACCTTTAGCTGTTGTAAAATGGGCCATTTCTGCATCCCTCACCTGATGGTTGTACACCAGTACTCACCTGCCTTACAGTTAGTTGGACTACCTAGCCCAGCCAAATTGAGTACTTAAGTATTCAAATAATTGGCTGGGCGGTGGTGGTGCACGCCTTTAATCCCAGCACTTGGGAGGCAAGTGGATTTCTGAGTTCGAGGCCAGTCTGGTCTACAGAGTGAGTTCCAGGACAGCCAGGGCTACACAGAGAAACCCTGTCTTGAAAAACCAAAAAAAAAAAAAAAAAAAAAAAAAGGTATTCAAATAATTGAAGTAAAGGAGTGTAGTTCGGAAGTGGGATCTCGATTAGCAAAGGCAGTCACAAAGTTCAAGAGCCTGGGAGTTCTGCTGCCATAAACCCCAGGGATGGAGATGTAACCATTCAGGTTTCTTATAAAGCAAGACTACACGGTAATTAATAAACATAAAATGTCCGATGAGACTTAGATTGCTGTTCAAGCCAGGTGCTGCAATGCTATCCTTGCTCATTCGGGAGGACAGACTGGGACGGGACAGATTGGGCACACAGTGAGAACCAAGTGAACCTCAACAAGAATACTAGTACATCCCCTCCCACCCAAGAGCCAGATGCTCTTTTCTTCCTCTGGACAGGGGATGTTGGAGTGCTGAACAGGTCTTACCTGATCTAACAGGACTGAAATCCTAGAAATACCTCGTGGCCACAAGTATTGTAGGTAGAAAAGTAGAGTAGGAGTTTCAGAAACTTACCACTCCAGAACAACCAGCAGGTCAGTGGTTAGATTAAAATGGAAAAAAAAAAATGTTCATTTTGTGAGGTAAAGCCCCTGAGGGAAACAGCTCTGAGAAATGGCAACAATCTATCTCAGAGAGGCACTGTGCCCCCAAAGGACTAGAAAAATACTAAGCTCCAAATTAAGTCTAATAAGGTGAAAAACCTAGGTGTGGCAACATAAGCACACACCCGTGATTCTAGCACTCGGAAGGCTGAGGTAGGAGCCTGTCAAGCTTAAGAAAACCTGAGCTGCCTAGTGAATTTGAGACTGGCTAGGGCTATACAACAAGACCTTGTCCTGCTGTTCTCATATAGCCAAAACTGGTCTTGAACTCAGTACATAATCCCCAAATGACTTTGTTTTGCCTTCATCTTCCAAGTGTTAGAATTATCGGCATGTGCCAGTACACCTGGATTTATTTGGTGCTGGGCTCAGACCCAGGGCTTCTTGCTACGCAAGAACTTTACTGATCCCCAGCCCCAAGACCCTGTTTCTAAATAATGACACTGGATTGGACAGTAAAAACAAGGCTCAGTGGAAGTGCTCATAGTTCTTCCTTTGCTTTTGTCAGATAAACACTATTCCAGCTAAGGAAAAGTGAAGGGGGTGGGTGGGGAAGGAGACTCGACCAAAAAGAAGAGGAGGTATTACTATTGGTAACACAGACACATAAAAGTTCAAAAACCCACTATGATTAGACGTCAGCTCGATTAAATCATCAGGAAATAGACAACCTGAATAGATTTTACACAATTATATCAACAGTAAAGATTTAAAAGTCTTACATCAAGGACCTGATGGTTTCAAACTGAAATCTAACTTTTAAAGAGTTAAAAGTCTGAAATGGGCATGGTAACATAAGCCTTTGAATCAAGAAGAAGTCGGATCTTTGTAAGGCCAGCCTGGTCTGCACAGTGAGTACCAGGAGAGCCAGGGCTATGTAGAGAAACCCTGTTTGTAAGTAAGTTAGTAAGTAAGTAAATAGTTAAAACCTGGGTGTGGTGAAATATATCAGTAATCCCAACACCAAGGAGGCTGAGGAAAAAGGTTCAAGGAGTTTAAGGCTGGTTTTAATTAGACAAACAACAAGCAGTAAAAACCAATTCTACTGAAACTGCCTCCAGAATTGAAGAAGGAATACTTCCAAACTCATTCCATGAGGCACTACCTTGATAGCAAACACACCTGTTAGCTCACAGGGATCTAACATCCTCTTCTGGGCCTGTGGGCACTAAGCATGGACGTGATACACAGACACATGCAGATAAAACACTCATACACACATGTTTTTAAAAAGTCTTAGGAAAGAAACAAAAGTGTTCATCCTAAAAAATGAAAATGTCAATCAAACTGCACAGCTTTTCCTGATTAAAAGAGATGAACAAACTTCTGTTCACCCCAGACGGGGACACCAGTGCCAGACCAAAGTCTACCCAGGTGAATCAGTGAATTTACCTGGGTTATGTACAGAACTCGGGTAACTTTCAAGTGCAACCTCACTGAAAAGCCTCTCCTCGCACTGGTGATGGGTGCCTCAGAACGCTGTACTGCTGGAGCTCTCTGCCCAAAGTGAAAGGAGCTGTGCCACCATCTTATCTCCTACAGCTCCGCTTTAGCGCTTCCGTGGACTAGAGGAAGGGGCTTGTGAGTCTGCCTAAGCTGCATGAGCTCCAGAGGGAAACGGTTCTGCTCAGAGCAAATGCCGGACCCCAAGGAGAATGTGAAAACAACAGATTCTAGGGTAGATGCAGAAAAGGAAGGAACGGCCACTGTCGGAGAGTATAAATCAGCACAGTCATTACGGAAATGGGACAGAGACTATGCAAAGCATTACACATAGCTTGGCATGGAGGTGCCTACCTGTAGCCCCAGCACTCAGAAGGCAGAGACTTAGGATCCAAAGTTCAAGGCCAGCCTGTACCCTATGATGAGATGTCTCAAAAACTAGGAATGTACCTTAGAGGTGTTTTCTTAGCATGCAATCCCCAGCACTATAAAAAGGCAAAATATTTAAGGAATTGAAGAGAATATCTCAGCGAAAACAACTAAATTTGAGTTAAATATATAAAGGTAAGGTCTGAACCTATGAAATTACTGTAACAAAACAGTGAATCCTTTAGGATAGCAAAAGGTGAAGAAATTTAAAAGGGGAACAAGGAGGGGCCATCGGCGGGCACTGCAGAAGTCAGCAATTCTGTTCTGCACAGTAGGACAAAGGAGGCTCCTAAGTTCCAGGACCTCATCTTGGTTCCTGGCATTAATAACCAACAGCTTACATCTACTGTGATGCCAGCTCCAAGGACCCAACACCCTTTCCTGGCCGCCGAGTGTACCAGCACACACGCGCGCATGCACACACACACAGGCACACACACACTCGGAAATGAAAGTTGTTTTTCTTTTTTTAAGATGTAAGCCAGCTAGAAGGGTGTGAGGCTGAGCATGGTGGCACACACCTGTAATTCCAGCATTCATGAAGGAGAGGCGGGATGATCAGGGTTCAAGGCCAGCATGGTCTACACACCAAGGATGAGGCCTGTCAGACAACACAGTAAAAAGAGGATTAGACAGGAATATTTAAGGAAGTGGATATGTTTAACATAATTTCAACATTATGCAGTGTATACAATGATTTAAACATCACATAATACCCCATAAATAAGTATAATTCTATATACTTACTTAATATTTTAGTAACAATATATTTTCAACAGGACTGCTTTAAATACGCTATAATGTATAATATTCCAGTGTACACAGAATTTCAGAAAAACTGAAAAATAAACACAAATTTCACTACAGGGAGCAAAGAGAAATGGAATCATGTCAGACCAACGCCCGCTTACTCTCATGTGCAGCGCGGCACTATGCATGATGGGGGAGGATGAAAGCAGCCTGAGATTTCATCAGCCAATGATGGGTATCTGGAAATGCACACACAATGGGAAAAGTACTGGAGACCAGACAACAATGGAATCCAGTCTAAACATAGAAGACATGACGCTACTTGAACGAACCAGCCACACAGAGAAGTACTGTGTATCACCCCACTCGTATGGAATGTCAAGAAGCTGATCTCATGGAGGCAGTGGGAGAGTGTACTGATGGCTGGGGTTGGGGCTTGGGGACAGAGAAGGGACAACAGTGAAAACACTGGTCAGTGGCTACTGTGACAGTTACAGGCAGGTAAGAGAACTTGGTCATGGCGTTTTAACTGCAGTGAGTGCCTATAGTTCACCACACTGTACAGAGCATTTCAAAATTGCTAACAAAGAAGATTCTGAATATTCTCACCACAATGAAGCCAGGTTGTGGATGTTCTAAATAACCTGATTTGGTTATTGCAATGTGGACATGTACAGAAACACCTCACTATGTATTCTCAATGGATGTGTACGGACACGTCAAAAATGTATTGGGACCTGGGAATGTAGTTCAGTTGTTAAAAGAGCTTGCTTATTATGGATGATGCCTTGGGTTCAATTGCCAGCACTCATATAAACAGTGTCATGGTGTACAACAATAACCCCAGCAGGGGACTCCTAAGTTTCAGGTCATCTTTTGTTGCATGGCAAGTTTGAGACCACCTTGGGAAGGATACATGAGACACTGTCTCTAAAGCATGAAAAAAAAAAGGTAATTTTGAATAAGAAGAATGTTCTCTTGGAGGGTCTATACTTATTTTAATTCCTGTCTCAAAATACGTTAAGAACATATTTGCAGTTGTGTTCAGAATGGATGTTCAGAGAATTAAATATCTGTGTGTAGTCCTTCGCATTACACACACTCAGACATACTGATGTCTGCCATCCCAGGCTCTAGAAGGTACCATATGTCCA